AGATCACAAATTAACTCCTCTTATATTTAATTTAATTTACGACTTTAATGTAGGCTGTGTCAGTGTTGTGGTCACAGCTAAGTAAGAATTTAACCCCCCAAAAAACCAGCTAAATTAGACTAAAAATGTCAACCCTTGTGACAAACAGGTTAATAGGTTGGTTTTACAATGACAGGTTTCAGGCGAGGACCACGTTTACCACCTCATCCACTGAGCACTTTACTTTAAAAGGTGGTGAAGACGAGGATTTTAATTGCATTTCTGGACTTTGCTCATGGGCCCAGACAAGGTCTCTCACACACCATTATTTATACCCTTGCATCAGTGTAATGTTTATTATCAACCAAACAAATTGGAGCTGTTAATAGATCATATGAACATGACTGTATTGTGATTATCAGTTAGCAGTTTTGAGAATAAAGCTCTATAATACACACTGTGTTAAATACTGAGGGTCTCTTCCAGAATGCCAGAATAAATTGGAACTTAAAGACAGCTATAATTCTATAAAGTCTATGCTCCGTTGTCAGTAGTAGCCTATAGCTAGTTATAATAGTTGCAAAATTATAATAGTTACATAACCATCACAAGAGGAGACAAGAAACTTTGATAAGTAAATTATTAATAGACTGTACAGCTTCAGGCATGACATTCCACCACAATTATCATTTACAAGAGATATATCTGTCATTGGGTCACATTCCATTTTAGGTTCAATGATCAAATGCAGTTGGGAGTCAGTACATTATATTGTATATGGTACATAACATTTTCAATCCTCAGACAATGCATGACACCAACAAAAGGAGGAATCTGGAGGAACAATTTACTAGCTAACAGTCTACTTCTCTTCATGTTGCTGTGATTGAATGTGAAGAAACTGCTTCCTTGTACAAACTGTTCTTTCAAGTCGTTTCCCTAGTACTTTTAAGGAGGCCCAAAGCTACATGACAGCAAGCAGCCACACATGTAAAAAAGTGCACATACATTTAATTCAGCTCCTGCCTCTCATGATTCCTCAACTGGAGCTAAACAGGTACTCTCACAAGAGGGAGAGAAATTGCTGGCGTGAAGACAGAATAAAGTTCCAATTTAGTAGTGGAGGGAAGATGTTGAACAAAACGTGCTGTGTAATGTGAGAGAGATCTGGAGATTTAGAGAGGAGGGAGGGCTGGAGAAATAGAGGGAAAATGAGAGAAGTTGAAAAGAGTGTAGTTTGCTTGTGTAGCTGTAACTTGACAAGTAAATTAGCATGTATATGTAATGGGGCAAAAGAAGGCCACGCCCTCACAGGCACCCTTTCATTCTGATGAAGAGGCAGTTTGTTAACCCAGCCACTGCCTCTGTCATTCCATTTCTCAGGTTTAGCATCTTGAAATGTTCATAAAGGTTGTGAGATGCTTGCCTTTTGATTGATCTCCTATCATGCTTTTTTTAGCAGAAGTGAGAGGCAGTGAAAAATCATGGATCGCAGCATGCATCTTTAGTAGCGGGTGTGGAGTTGTTTACAATCTGTTCATCAAGGCATTAAGAGGTAGAGGTAAATCTCTCTCATGCAGTTTACTTATTTTCTCCACCTTTCTCCACATAGCAGGAATCAATAGCCAGATTACTTGGTCTCTGAATCTCTTTGTCATTTGTTTTTGTTCCAGTCACTTTGCTGTGTACACTGTTGATGTCATGTTTGAGTCATAAATCAAAAAATGTATGTGTGCATGCACGTACATGTATATATGCGTCTGCCCAGCAAGTAAATGCACATGCGTAAATGTTTGTGTCGTTAGGGAACACAACAGTACTACCACATATCAGTGTGCCTGTCTTCTCGTTGCAGGTGTCTGAATGTTTCGTCTAATCATTAAACACACTAACAGGCTTCAGAGAATAACACCACTGATTCCTGTCAGTGGAATACAGGCCTGACTTCATTAGCCCTGTTACCACTAAGCTGCTTCACCCTCACTCACACCTGGCTTAACCTGCTCAGTGATAAATGCTAAGAGCAGAAGGAAAAACAGGCAGAGGGAAACAGGGTGAAACAAAGGGAAATCAGGGACAAAGGCATTTAAAGAGAGGCAGAGATGATAAAGTCAGGTAGAGAGAGTGTGGAAGTAAATAATGGGAGTAGAATGGGAGGGCCAAGAGCATGTGAACCTAGAGTTTTCAGAGGCTTATCAGAGGAAAAAGTTTGAAGTAGTGTTTGAACTGAGAAGGCTTTACAAATTCAAAAACAACCAAAACAGTTAATTAAATTGTGTTGCAATTAATCAGTTATTACACTGGCACATTGACAGCCAAAGTGCTTAAGTGAGATACCAGCTTAAACACATATGCATCTGCATATACAAAGACATGAATTAGCTTGTGCGTGAGTGCAGATGCATATGTGCACTCTCATATGTATCTGCACTCACGCACAAGCTAATTCATGTCTTTGTATATGCAGATGCATATGTGTTTAAGCTGGTATCTCACTTAAGCACTTTGGCTGTCAATGTGCCAGTGTAATAACTGATTAATTGCAACACAATTTAATTAACTGTTTTGGTTGTTGTCTCCTAGAGACTGTTTTTCTAGCACAGGTGCCATAAATATACTTCATTTGGCAGAGGAGAGGGAGGAAGAGTGTAAGGGGGTGGAGAGGTGCTGGATAAAGGATGTCACGGTACGGTGGCAGATAGTGGGGATGTTCCACAGAAGCAGAGAACTAAAGAATAAGGTCACATTATAATGAGGTCCTGTATTAATCATGATAGTGTGAGGAACAATAGTAAAGGTTATTCAACCACAGCGTGAATACCTGGACCTAAATACTACAGTATGTGCTGTTCTTCATTCTAACACATGTACGTGTAAAATTGCACTCTGAACAGATGTAATGGGATGTTCACATATTGTGGAAAAAAAATGCCATTTGCGCACACCTTGTAATTGTTATGCGGTGTGCTGCGCAGGCTCACAAAATTATTTGTTGATCCTTTACGCTGGCTGCGCTTACCTTTGTGCCTGCCACCAATCATTCTTGACCTCTGCTTGAACTGATAGCTGTGTTCTATTTCACAATATATGGCTGTGCCTATACTCATAGAATCTTATGTTACAGTATGTAACCAATGTTTCTGAATTTCTCAAACTGCACAATAACATATGACCTTCATTTCAAGATCAGATAAACAGACAACCTATTTAGTTAGCTAGTGCTGCCACAAAGATTGTTTTAAAAACTGTTTGAGCCCTTAAAACATTGGGATCTACTGCTAGCAACATTAGCATTGTAGCTAAGAAAGCACAGTTCTGTACAGCCCCCCCCGGAGTTTCTACTTGAGATTCGGTGCCAACCATTGTTGCACACACAGTGCAAGACCCTTGTTTTTCCACTGTAATGTGAACATACCTTAAAGTCTGAATCTGAATATCTCATGCTCAGTACTGAGTGATTGAGACTGCGGGTTGTTGACATTGTCAGTGTGCACACATCCTACTTCCTCCATCTTTCACAAAAACTCACATGTACATATGCACACACACAGTTATATGCCACGCTTTTAAGAAATGTGCACACACAAATACAAGATTTATGTATATTATCTTTGCCCCAAGGCCCCATGGATCTTCAATACCAATGGCACTGTCATAGCTCCATAGCCATCTATAACTCACAGTGTGCGAATGAGCTATTTTGCTCCATGGCACTCTGAGTGTGTGGGAGACAGTGAATGCCTCTGTTCATGTTTCTGGCTAAACAGACTTGAACTGGACATATTAGATGAGCAGGAAACACATGAAAGGTAGACACAGGCATGGACTCATACAGGCCAACATAAGTGATCATTCATTCACCTGTAGGGTTTTGTCACCTTGTTTGTTTCCCTCTCATTCAGAAACATATGCAAGTGTGGCTGTGGAGGGATGATGTACGCCAAGCCACCCTCTGCTCCCCTTCACCATTTATCAGACAGCAAATCTTGGGCAACCCACATCACTTACCTTTATAGGTCCATCTGACAGCATTGTACACGACCCAGTCATCACATACATAGGCCTCACAAGAGTGTGCATATGGGTGAAGGCATACTAAGTGTAACCTTACACAAAGATGTACTATATCAGTGCCTCCTTTAAGCTTCGTAAGGTATAAAAAATGTCTCCTTGTTACCAAAGACATTGCTACTGTTCAGATTTTTCAAATATACATGTTGTGCACATTATATTAGATCCAGGTGACAATGAAATATTTTCACCTGCGTTCTATTCCCTCTCTGGTAAGAGCTTGTACAAAAACAACACCTAAGTTCTTATAACTACAGCAGGGAATCAACGAACGTTTCAACAAAATCAGCAGGGAGTTCTTCTGACTGATTGTCTGCTTCTGCTTTGCAATCACAGAGTGTGACACACCCTCCGCCATTTCTGGATCTCCACTAAGAGGAGGAGAGGGCTGGGGCTGCTAGCTCCATACATCTGCAGGCTGTCACTCAGAACGAGACCCCTGGAGCTGTTTAGACAGTTTGACTGTCTGGCCCCTTCATCTTACAAAATCAAAACCTACTCATACATTCCTACAAACATCTCCCCTCAGTGCAACGTCCCTATTTCCCTGAAGATCTACTATGCAAAACAATCACCTCCCCCAACCTCACATTAACAACACATGAAAGTGAGGAGGAGTTTAAACAGAGCAGCGATTAGTTTGAACGTGCATCTTAGAGCAAGCAATGCAGGAACACAGACTGTGCGCTGTCTATCACTGCAGAATAGCAGATTAATTTAGTCTAGGTGTCAGTGGCTGTGAGTGATTGACTTTGTAATCAAAACACTGTTCTATAACAGAAACACTGAATGACTCAATTTCAAATCAACATCAACAACACCATGAAATGCTTTTCATCTCATTAGCAAAAAACTGAGAATGCACACAGACAGACCGAGCAGCACACCCACACGCCACCCATTTGGAAATGCATGGGGATCCACAGGTGACTGATTGAATGCTGTCTTACCTTTTTGTGATGACACTGTAGTATCTGGAGATAAAAGGGAGGAAACACAGAGGAATGTGTTAGGATCTGACAGGCTGCAGTATAGTAAACATATAAAATGCAGGAGATGTAGTGATTTGCTGGGAGGGAAATGAGCCAACCAAGAGGATAAACAGACAAGGGGGTTGTACACAACTGTGTGTGTGTGTGTGTGTGGGGGGGTCTTTTATCTCAGACCTGCAAAGAACATCACTTTACCGCACTCTTGCACACTTACATGTGCCTGAATATACAAACACACATAGGCACACAGCAGGTTTACTGAGCAAACCACAGAAATACACAGCAGATGAGGAAACACATCAAACAGTGGCCACAGAAGCATGAGAGTCTCCAGACACATGGAAACCCTTGATTACTTACACAATTTACCCTGAGTGAGCTTTACAATAAGTCAAAATAATGCCTCTGAGGTGCAGTGAGACAGAGCCATCAAACCACTTGAGTAAGCATTTTAGGTTCTTACTGCAAGCCCACTAGAGACCCTCCGGGCCCAAAAGGTGTAGATCAAAACATGGCCTGCTTGAATGGAGGGATGTAGTGCAGCATTTTTTTTATATAACACATTTACAAAAGAGGCCTGCTTGTGAGGGAGGAAAATATTGTAAATTTATCTTATTGTTCTCATAAAATATTTATCTGGACAGTGCTTGTAAGCTCCCAACGTTTCATTTTTATTTAATAGACCTGTCAAACATGCAGGAATACTAGAATAAATAAAAAATAAAGGGGAAAAAATCCCTTTCTTTAACTTTGTACTTTCAGCAGTTCAGATGCTTTAGAACTGGCCATGTGCCCAAAAAGCCCAAATGGCCACAGACACTGGAGGGGAGTAATTGATTCCGGATGGATTTGTGGTGTGCTGGGCTAAGGAACTGATAATCCAAAGTGCTGCCTAATTGCCAGAGTAAAGATGGCGCCAATTGTAGGGGTGGCATCAGAGTTTATCAAGGCAGCGTGGCGTGGGATTGGACCAAGTATTAAGGCTTTGCACACTTTTGTTTTGTGAGGTGTTACAGTGGATTTAAGCAAATATTGGCCCTCTGGTTATTACATGCTCTGAATGTCTGCTATGGGACTGTCCATATGCTCTGCATGTCTCTGCTAATCTGAGAGGAGGCTTCAAATAATTAACTTGTGAAGCACTCCTACAGCCCAGTGCAGTCAACCTTATCACAAAAGAAAAAAAAAATCCTTGGTCCATTTACTTTTCACCCAAAGGCTTACAAACCCTCACCATTGTTAATACCAGGGTATAGCTGCATAGCCGATAAAATATTACCCAACATGTCACAACCACTGGCCCCTACTCTGCTTCTTTTGTCATTTGTTAAAAGTGTACAGTATGCTGTCAAACTGCCTCTCTAATCTCCCAGATTAGATTTGCACTACTAGCATGTGCCAGACTATAATACAATCTGTGAATGTGCACATCTTTCAATGTGTGTGAATTAGGCAAACTCAAAACCAATATGTACTGAAAAACAATTACAGATTGGATCTCTCATTGTACCTGATGATAAACATATTTTAAATATACTGTATAGGTGAGCAACACTGACAGGAAACTGGTGGACACCTCTCCTGTTTACATGCACTTAAAGTAGGGGGTTTAAAGTATATTGAGAAATCAATATCAGAAAGTACTGATGAATCAAAAGCACTTAAGAGTCATTTCAAACTGTACTACAGCCTGTTTACATGCACTTAAAGTAGGGGGTTTAAAGCATATTGAGAAATCAGCAGAAAATACTGATGAAGCAAAAGCACTTTTAAGAGTCATTTCAAACTGTACTACAGTTTAAAGTATTAAGTGTCATTTAAAATGAACTAAATTCAAATACAGCAGAGTGGATTATAGTACATACTGTAACAATGAGTCTGCAACGCCTAAACGGAGACAACATTACTGTGATTGAATTTTAATATAACAAGGCATCATTTTTATAATGGAGTAATTAACAGCTCATATGCACAGTTACCTGCAGTAAACAGCAGGGTGCTAAACCATGTGTCACTTTCTTTCTCTACATATTGATAAAATATGTTATAGTAGGGGAGACATTTGAACAAAACGTGATAACATGTTCTCTATTAGCACTGTTTTGATAATGATGAATAATAAACAAATACCAGCTCATTTGTAATAAATAATGAAAAGAAAGCACTTCTTCCTCGTCTACAGCTTGTTGGGTTGTAGCAGAGACACCACGCTGACTGGTGTCAGCACACATAAATAACTCTGCCGTTTAAGCAGGTAACGAAAACCTCCATCATTGATTACTGCGTGTCTTCTCGGCTACTGGTGGCTTATATGGATCTGGAGACTATGTGCAGTGAATATGTGAATGGTGTTGGGATGTGCCCGTGTACCCACAGCAGTACTCCTGTGGGTTTGGGTATTATGTAAACCAGGCCATATGTCGATAGAGATTTCCCACCGCAAAGACGTTTGCAAGCCTAGTAAAGCTGAGGCTGGCCAAAAGCATGCCTAATGACACCAAACGTTATACTGAAGATTTGTTGTGAAGATACATTTATACCATAAGGAAATAAACATCTCCCAACTGTTCCTTTACCTTTCAAAAATGTAGCTTCTCACTGTCAAACAGGTAAAGGAGGAAGAGCAATGGAGAGGAAGACTGGCATTGAGACAATTCTTTATTTCTTTAGGTAAACATGTACGCTCTTATCATGGGATTTAAATGTAAAATGATTTCTATATTTTGAAAAGAAAACAAGTCAAGAGGAAAACGCACACTAAACCACATTTAAGAGATCCTAATAGCTAATCAGACATGGTTTGACGTTTACATTCATTATCCATTATAATTACATCTGTTTGCTCAGTGGCTACTTTTTGATCCAAAACACAGAAAGCAAAGAGAATAAGAAAAACATCATGACATGAAAATCTACCAGCATGAAATTGAACTAAATGACAGGCTGCATTTTCTGTGTTCCCACTAAATCAGAAAGTTTCTGTGCTTGAATTAGTCAATGTTCCAGTATAATGGCATCCAGAGAAAATGGGTTTACATCAAACATCTGGAGCTGAAGAATGACCATAAATAAAAGAAAGAAATAATCATTCATGATGCTTGCACACAGTAGGCAGTTACTACAAACTCTGCAACCCTCTAATGGTGGATATCACCACATTTTGACTGACAGATAACAGGCTTCAATGCTACATGTGGCATAGGAGACGAGTGCCACCCAAACAGTTTATGGAGGAACATTTACAGCAGTAAAAATACTATTTCTTGACCCATACAAAGAACCCAGCTTCACTTACTTCAGCCCCTGCAGGAGGAAGCTCATGTTTGAAACACTAACATCAGTAGTGGTAGCCACTGGCTTGAAAGAAACATTACTGCGTTTGCATCATCATCCCATTTCACTGTAATTGGGGAAAAAAAAAAGTCTTTTAGTCTGTGAGACATCTTTTTTGTCCACAGTCATTTTGAAGAGAAGCCCACACTTAAAAGAGAAAAAGAAAAAATGACTCTTTTTCAAGGTGAAGCTACAATTTATATTCTAATGCTGAGACATGACAAATAAGACAAAAGCTGAAAAATTGTGCAATATATGCTGCGCTGTAGAAGTTGACATACATTTACAAAGATGACTGTCAGCATCAGCTTGTTGTCAGCACTTTTTGCACAGTTGGGTTCATTTTGTACCATCTGTTATATGTGAAAATCAAAATTTAGACCATTAGACAAGACAACTTGACCAATGAGCTGTTTCTTTCTACCCTTACTGCATGTCTAAATGAAGAATTGACACACCTGCACCAGACTAGATTGAAGCTACACCGTGTGATGGATTTGGCTTTAGTTAATGATAGTGAGAACTATCAACAGCAATGATGATGGCGGCTTCAGAAATAGTATGTCTAGGTTGAAGGTGAAAATGTGACTCTGCACTCCTTTCCTCTTTCTCTTCTTTTTGTTTTTATCTTTCTCATGTCTTCTTTTTGCAACTTTCTTACCATCTCCAACACTGTTACACTTCCCCACTGTGACCCCTGATGTGAGGACAGCTGGGTAATGTTGACACCCAAATGCTGTAGAGCAGCTGTCTCTAAGGCATAGATGGTATTGTTAAAACTACAATATCTCTGAAATGCCCTTTTGAGAATTAATGGAAATTAATTTTCTAATTGTCGATGTGCATTTTTTAAAGGTATACAGTTGGATTTCAGAGGTACTTGGATAGTTTCCAGTCATCGAACTCATCACACAAACGATCATGTGAGCACAAAACAAAAACAGATATGATTAGTGCTAAAAATCGCACTAAAACTACAGTTTAAGAGAAGTTATTAGATCACAGACAGCCCACCTCTACCAGAAGTTGCAGGAGTCTCCTGGATATTGACGGCAGCTCCCTGACACCCACAAATCTTTAAGAGCAAGCAAGATGAGAAATGGGGGGAGAGAGTGTGAGAACAAGCAAGCATCCCGATCAGTCTCTCTTCGTGCTAAGTGAGCCTGTCACTTTTCTTTGTGGACAGGCTTTACATCCAACCTCTTTCTCCATCAGTTCAGTTGAATGTCCTGTAGCGCCATGGGGGAGTACTGTGTAGCGCCATGGGGGAGTACGCACTTCACCCAGAGTACACAGATGTTGTCAAAACAACAACAATACAAAACGCACTTCACCCAGAGTACACAGATGTGTACCTCTGCCTAATAGAGGTAAAAAATAATGACCATGTTGCTCGCTGCACTGTCTGGGACGGTGGTGGGTTAAAAATGGTTGTAAAAGACATGCTGAGGTGAGTATAACAGGCGCCATTTGCTCATTAGCATTTGCTAGCTAATGTTATTTAAAGTATTGATGCCGTGTGTAATGACGGGGTATGGTGTCTGCAGTTATGAACACCCCATCATGCACATGGTTACAGATAGCGAGTAGCCAAGCTGACAGGTGATTCGGTAGAAGTAGCTGCATGCTGGCACATGAATGTTCAGTGTTTGTGGGCATTAAGAAAATGCCCCCGATTCTGTACATGCAACATCAAGACTGATTGAATTAAATTGGTATTGGAAACTTGTCTTCTATTGACCTCTTAAAGTTGTGGCCTTATAGCAGTCTGCACGGGGGATAGTTTTAATTACCACCAGAAATTGTGTTCGATTTTACCCCCATCATGAATTGAAGGATCCATACAGCTAATCATCACTTCATCAAGATAAATGAAAACCATGACATCAGTGGAAGGTGATGCAACTGTGCATTTGTGAATATATCTTTACCGTGTAAATATGACCGCATGTCCAGATGCACACATATGTAAATGCATTTATATATGTGTCTGTGTGTGCTGTGTACACACAGTGTGCAGTAATGTGTGTAGACTGCAGTGGAAACAAATGCAACTCTCCTTATATGATTAACCACCATTGATATATGATCACTATAATGTAATTAGGATTAATTCCAACACTGTAGCCATTCATTTCTTAATCACACTCAGTGACAGCCCATCAGTTAAAGCTATGAGCTAAATGTGCTACGGTGTAATGGATGGTGACATCAGTCAGTTGTGACCATTGACCTGGATGTTAATGATTTTAGGAGGACTCGGTAATGGTAGAGCTCATGTCAGCTGAGCTAAATCAATCACATGAATCACAAAAGTCATATGTTATGTGTGCTTAAATGCCCTAATAAAAACATGTACTTCTCAAAATGTCCTACAGCAATATGCGCACGTTGTGATCCGTGTGTGCTGTAAAGCCTCAGTTACACCCACAGTGTACACAGTGAATGATTTTGCTTCATCTCTCCTCAGAAAAAAAGTCAGAAGCACTGTTATTCTACAAGCGACAACATGTGATTGGAGGATGTCACCTTTAAAAAGGGAGCCTCCACGTTCAGTGCAGATGAAAAGTCAATGACAGCCAAAGACCATCTTTCAGACAGATACACGCAGCTTGCCACTGTCTTTAATCTTTGCATCGAAACATCGATGGGAGAAGGACTTAAACTTCAATTCAAGTTTTAATTGGCAAAAAATTAAACCTAGAGCTCTGCTTCATATCTTTCCTGAGCTTATATTCAGAAACATAAACCACAGTCAAGTGCACTTTGTTCCAATTAACAGTTTACACTTTGCACCATCAAGCTGTTGTGGTACGTGCTACACAGACATACATAAGTAGAGTAGAGCGAACATAACTTCAAGTACTGCATTGTTTTCTTCCTCTAGTATTTAAAACACCTACATACCAGGATTTATTTAACTAATGTCTTAAAAGCACATGCCTGCGCCGTTTCCAGAGAAGAAAACAAAGAGACAGAACACAACCTTAAGTTTTAATTAGCTGAGTGTAGCGCATGCTCATCTGCTACGTACAGCACAGGGAGAGCAGGGAGTGCTGCCTTCTTGCTCATTATGTACTAATGAGTTGTCTATTAATGAAAATGGAAAGCATTTATTTTGTGAGCACAAAGGGTTCAGCTGGATTAATTACTGCACTACAGCAACAAAATGAAAACAGAAAGTGCAGCATCACTCTTGTGTGGCACATTACCCATTAACCAACTGTTATCAAGGCCTGGCGAATGGTGCCGCACACAACACACTAGGAGCAGAAACTGTTACCACAGGCCATTAAAACTTCATGTGAACTGCACTTTTGACAACTTCTACATACTTTCTGTGATGCATATATGCTTATTCTCATTTGAATTCATACATCTTGTCGGTGCTACATAAACACTACACTCAGCTGCTAGATCACAGTATTTCACCACTAGGCCTGAATTTCATAAATACTTTTTTTTTGTGTGTGCAATAAAAATAGTTCCAAGCTAATTGCGTCATTGTGTGCCCAAGTGCTGGCATTTATATCTGTCAAAATGTGCAGCCAAAGGGAATAAACATCACAAACTAGAAAAATTTACAAGATGCCCAATGCTGTCAACACAAACTGCTTTTTTGGGGAGGTGGGAGGGGGGGAATGAACTGTGAAAATGCAGATCAGGAGCTCACTATGGAGGAGAGAAAGGGTGACAAAGAGCCATATGGAGGGAGCAGGGATGGCTGAGCAGAACGGTGCCCTTTGCAAAATAAATATAGCTGCAAAAGTGGCATCCCTGTAATGGCAGTAAAATCTTCTTGAGCTGCATCTCTTTTCAAACGGTGATCAGAATCATTCTAATAGCCTGCTAATAGCTTGATTTCCCAGTGGGCTCTCCTTGGAGAGGTCAGGGGCATGGGGAGCGCGTGGGCTCTGGCAGCCTCAGCAGATGGTTCTTGATCAGATATTAGAGGCTGGGCAGCGGGGCTGTCTGGCCGTGAGCATTCTGCCCTGCCTGGGGATAACAACCTCTACTGAACCTCCAGCTCCAGCTCTGGTTCCAGCACCAGACGAATAGCTCTGTGTCCCAGCCAGACTGCAGGGACACTGGAGCCCGGACAGACTACTGTCCTTAAGCCTCGTGACAATCTGGGCAAAGCAAACTCGGAAGCATGCTGTCTGTTTCCTCTAGGAATTTATTTCACCCTATTTGGGCTGTACATGATTCGATGACAAATGGTTATGTAATTGCCACTGTTGTCTGTTCTCTCTTGTAAGAATAATCACAGTGATAACCAAAATCCTACTTAGCTGGATCTGAAGAAAAGCTATTCTTTTTTTTGCCATCACTCACTATCCCTATTGTAGCAATGTCTGGAGGAGAAACAAATCATTAATTCACAGAAATGCATATAAAGATCTGCGATTTGAAGGAATCAGTTGTGCTGTATTAATGGAGACAGAATAACAAGGAGGAGCTTGGCGGAGTCTTTGTTATTAAAATTGAATATTAATCTAAGAATGTCAGTGGGAGTGTGTCTTTTGTAAAAAATAAATAAATAAATATGATAAGATAAATCCTACTTAGACAAGTCTGAATCATCTATTGGCATTCCAATCTTCCATTTTCAACAGCCCGCCTCATCTGTCTGCCTCCTCCATCGACAAAAAAAGCTGGGTGAATAAACACAACATTTTGGGCTTTATTTATCCTCTAAAATGGCACGGCTTCTGATATGACCTTCAGTTAGAGTCGTTCTCCATCAGTCATCACCGCCACCCGCAGCAACAGTGGCTGAGAAGTAGTGGCACCCTCTCCCTTTTTAACCTCCCCCACAGCTGTCCACAAGACAGCTGTCCTCTTATTTTACTTTCCAGTCCTACATTTTTTATTTGCTTCCTCTCCTTATCCAACCCTTGACCTCATTATTTTGTGCCTGTTTTCTTGATGTCACTCTCTTCATCACTTTGTCTAACTGTTTCCTCTCTGCATGAGATATACAGCCTTGGCAGGTAGCGCATGGTGTGCATTATCTGGCATGAGTGCTGGATTCTTAAGAGCAAAAATAAAGAGTACACTTCAATGCAAACAATATGTCTTGGAGTGAGAAAATGAAAGAGGAGGCAAAGGGAATGGAAGCAGGTGATTACAAGAATAGAAGGAAGCACTTCAGCTGAGTAGTCGCTGTGACATCCTTGCTTGTCCCATTTTACCAGAGGCACTAACCTAATGTCTGATTGTTACACTACAAACAACTAACTTATTACTTTCCACAATCTGTGTTGCTGAATCCTCTTTATCTCTATGAATCAGACATGATGAGCAACTAGGCTTTGGCTAGTCTGATTACAGCATTCAAAGAGACACAATAGTTAAGAGTGCCCATTTTCCATAATGTAGGTATGAAACCCTGACACCAACACTCTTGAATCATCTCAACAGCCTAAACCCTCATCCTGTCCACAGTTTTCATAAACAGCTTGTCCTCAATCAAAGATATATTGTTTGTGTGAAAAGCGTCCACTCTACTCTATAACAGATTTTTTTTTTTCAGGTGACACTGTCTTAAAAGCTTTCTATCCTGAAAGAAAGACATTTTTGGCATGTTTCATTGTCTGCACAAACAGACAAGAACAGACTCGCAAACAAGCCTACACACAAGCACACACAGTACACGTACTGAGAGGAAGCTTCGACATCACAACACAGATGGTAAAAACAGCAAAATGCTATTTTATTTTGGCTATTGTTTTACACAGTGAAATCAAAAACACCAATTATAGTAAGTGGCAGCAAAGGGAATACGTAGTTTATTTTATAACTATGCAGTTCAAAAATATGATCTGAAATTTATAAAGGTCTTTTACACATACTGTTTTATTCTAATTCTTATTCATTAATTTATTTTTTAAGGCAGAAGAAAAGGTGTTCTTATGTGTGCCAGCTATAAATATCTGACTGAAAGTCTGAAAAGAGAAACAGAAGTTGGAATGACTCTCACACCCAGCTGAACTCTGAGTGTTAAACAACTCAAAAACAAATGCATTTTAGGAGCTTGTGTTTGTGCTTGTTAGTACTGCCACATAATATGAAAAGT